TTAGGTGAATGTGAAGAAAGAAGCTTAAGAAAAATGGAGAGAACAAGAGTTACTGTAGAGAGAAAGACAGAGAGGTAGGAGTGGGAGAGCTCTTTTCCCCGCCCCTCTCTTATCCTCAGATGAACTTATCGTGTTGCCTCATAATGTTTCTGAGCTTTTTTTCCTAGAGGCAGTCAGGCTAACTTCCTGCATTCAGCCTCAACATTGTTGATTGGTTGATATCTCGGCTGACCGGCCGCAGTTCGCAGCGAGGCGACAGGAAGTTTCTCTTCTCGTGCAGGAAGCTGCAGCTGTTTCATCCTGACATACCCTGCTTTGCACTCTTGCACGCTTACTCTGTAAACATGCACACAAACTACGTGGACTAATACCTGGGTTTAAATGCTGTTTGTGTGTGTCTGTGCGGTGCATGTGTGCGTGGAATTCGTAAATGCTATAACATGTGGGCGTGCTACAACATGTCAGGCAAGGATGTTCTGGGATATCAAAAACATTTGAAACCATGGAAACAACACATCTTATTTGGCCATTGGCAAAAGAGAGGACAAGCAGAAGATAGAGGATGGAGGATGGAGAGGATGGATGAAATCCATTTTTTCTATATTAAGTTAAAGACACATGCCTGCCGTCAGATATGACTGTTCAGAGATGGTTTGCTCTTCGGTTAATTTGTATTTCTTACATTCTTCAGAACAATTTATATAAGACGTTACAAAGGTCATTGCTAATGTAATCTCAACACTCTGTAAATTAAATGAAATAATGAAAACAATCCAAATTTACACATGGGGAAAGATTGCGTAAGGAATCATCTTTGTGCATGCAGAGTATTTATTAGAGATCCATCTCTACACCTTATCTAAAGTTTGAATAATTGTTGGACAGCGTTCTAAACAGCACTGTGATCATTCTATTCTGATATCATTTATGGGTCATACCATAACATTTAACCAGCTGTTGTATAATCAGTAAAATATTCGTATCCTCTCAGTCTGAAGCTGATTGCATCAGAATGAAGGTACTCCCTTTAAATCCGGCAGTCCGGGGCTTCATGGATGGATATGGGTGCTATGTGGTCTCCGGCTTTGCGTTCACCTGCGTGTAAGCAAGTGCATATGGCAGCATATCGCTGTTTATGTGCTCTCGCATTAGCCCGAACCATGTGAGTGTGTTTCCTGGTTAATGAGGATATACAGAGCATCAGAGCGGGCACCACGCCAAGTGAGAAGGAGGAGGCTCTGCGCTGGTGTCCTTCATCCTTTAATGTAGGAGCGAGGCATTCCTCAGGGGGTGCAAAGACAAAAAGGCTGGTTTGATGCAGTCACCGTACCACTTTGTAGACGATCAATAAACCCAGAAATGTGTAAGACAAGCCATCGATTTGCATCTTTATAACAGTGGGATTTCTTCATCCTGCCGTCTTTTGTGTGGCATACTTCCTTTGCCAATGCCAGCTCCCCCGCCGCGCCTCCTCCTCCATTTTTTTTTTTTTTGCCCACCACCAGCACCTCCTTACTCCCCTTATTGAAATTCTGCCTGGCACACAGACACTGCCCATTTTTGGCACAAAGCTCAGAGAGAGGGAGTGAGTGGGAAAGAGAGCAAACACACACAAGAACCTGTATCAATCGTCTGGTGCCCCCTCCTCTGTGGTGTCTGTGCCAAGCATTCATCCCGTCTCGCCGACGAAGGGACCGGGCAACCCAATAGGTATTTCCCTGCCTCTGCTTCCTGTGATAATCCGCTCCAAATTCGAGAAGTTTTGTTGGCATCTCAGTGCACTGCGTGTGTGTTTAGGGATTTGCTAATTAAATTGTGGAAGCAATAGGTGAGGAGTGAATTTAAGGAAACCTATATCCGGTCACAGTGGGGGTGGTGGGGAAGGCAAAGGCCTTTAGCTTCTGTGATCATTTTCATCTTGTTTTGATGCATGGCTTCTGATTTGTTTGAGACGCGGCAGGAGTTCATTTTTTTCTCTCTCCTTGTCAGCTAAGAAGATTAAGATTAATGCAATGCGTTTTACAACCTGTGTGATAAACGGGTAATTGGGTTTAGCAGTTTATCATGGCCTTTTTTATATCCCAGTATTGAAATGAAAGGGAGACTTAAATATGGTCTTTTTTGTACTGATATTAGGAAAAAAGCCTTTGAAAAGTATTCAAACTTTTTTGAAGACTACATAGTTTGATTACAGCAATGCACCACTTTGTTTTGTTTATGTTTTCCTTTTTGTTTTTATCGATCTGTTTTGTCATTTTACTTCTTCAGCGCGCTCAATGTTTACAGCAAGCTAAGCGTCAAACATCTGTTGAAACTTACTACACATGACTGCAGAGTTGTAAGGAACTCCAATACGGGAAACCTTAGAGGGAAATGTCATCTAAAGACTGATTATAAGGCTGGAGGAGGAAACTTCCTCCAGAAAAACATATCCTGATGGCACACAAACGAAAAGCGTTATCAGAGGGCAGGAAGGGAGAAGTTATGTTCTCTTCAAAAGTAAATTTACTGACATTTAGCAATATTTCTTCTTTTAGAGATGCACATGGTCACATTGACAGATGAGATTTACTCACAATATCACATTTCTTCCTTTTCTTCTCTGGGATCCTCTCAGCTGCCCCTCGGGCTCGAACAGCATTTATTTTGTAGCTGTTGACAGAGAAAATGATTTGCTCCAGCTGAGCAGTGCATGCCTCTTTTATGTGGCGTAGAAAATGCCACAGTCTCAAACAACAGCACCCAGCAGGGCACACATTGACTGACTGAGTTTTGCCTCAGTGTTTCTAAAACATTTTTCGGGAAAGGGGACGCCAATTTTTCACCAATCGCCCCACAAACATTTCATAATGTAAATCTAATTTTTCTCAATGCTCACAGGTGCCGTCAAACGCTGATCAGCTTGACCTCTTTCCCCAAATACGCTGTCATATCACAATTAGCTTGTCTGCCGTGTCCTCCAAACACAGCTCCCGTCAGGAGATGTTTCTTGGCGACCAAACAGAGCTCATAGATCTGTCACTGGCAAGGCAGCAGGGGTGGGCATCGTGCCAGCACACCCCCACCCCATTCTGTCTGCCAGCTCCTCAATAATCAGGCTAGTGGGGTTTACTGCATGCTAACTACAAGCAGGTCTGGACCAAGTCTCAGAGGTTGTGGCTTTATGCTAATTTATGCAAGAAGTGTACTTTCTAAGCCATTCTCTGTCTATCTGAGGCCCAGACCTGGCATTTAGTCTGGCACTCATTAACCCTTCAATTGCTGCCATGTTAAATTTACTGGCACATTTCAATTTATCTTATGCCTCACAACAGTTTAGTAGCGACTGGCAAGCAGAGCGGCCCTTCAGTTTGTGGACAGTCTGTCTGTCAAGAGATCGTGATCATGCTTTTCTCTGTCAGCTGTCCAGCTGTCTGATAAGAAATGCTACTTTCTGCTGCAGCACTCGTGATCGAGTGTGTCGTCTGGGTCTGCTGGCTTCGTGTCAGTGCTTGGCACAAGATTGATTCTCCACAACTCGCAATAAAACAGCTGCTCTTTCTTCGTCATCATGCTGCGGGTTTTGAGAAAAAAAAAAATCTGATAGGTGGACCTTGTAATGTCTTCAAGCAGACCTAAAATGGCCGATGAGTAGGACGCCATTTTGTGTTTCCTTGTTGTGTTTTGGGGGGCAGAATCCCAGCTTTGTGCTCAATCAGAGGCAGCTGGTGGAAGCCATATTTGCAGGCATCTGTGTGTGTACCTCCGCCTGAGAAGCAGTAGCCAGCCTACACAGGGATAGCCCACTGGAATGAGCTCAGTTTTTGGCAAAAACGGCAAAGGATTCCTGGCACAGATTCGAGCAGTCCTTTTTCTTTTTCCCTTTTTCGATCACATGCCAGTGTCTCAGGAAGCCAGTGAGTTGTTTGTTAGGCTTTCACACATTAGAGCTCTGACTTTCTAGAGTCCGTTCGCCATGAAATTATTTGTCTATAATTATTATTTGAGTGGAACATTACTGAGGAATTTCTATTGTTATCAAGTGATGAATGCTTGTCCAAATCTTGGCATTTGTAGACTTGCAATTAAAAACACGAGAGGTTTCAGCTGAAGTCGTGCTTTTGAAACATTTCCAGGTAATGTTTTTCTTTAAAAAGGCAAAAAATTATAAACAATAAAACTGAAAATACTATTCATATTCAACAGAATTGTAGAACTGTACTTATCCAGTGTATCCATGACTTGTATCTTTATGATGAGTTAATTAAGATAATCCTCTTTGTCTCTTTTGGTGTGTACCCCTGCAGGAAAGTTGCCTTTGTGGATCTGCAGCGTGGATGCTGTCCTTGGGGCTGAGGTAGTAGATTGAATAGTTGTGGGGTTTTACAACCTCTTTTTCAGATAACTATACAATCTACTGTCTTTCCCAAGGAGACAGCTGAGTCAGCCACTCGCCAACCGTCATCTCCGGATGAGCAATCATGCAGTCCAATAAAAAAATACGTTGGCTGTAATTAAACCAATTGCTTTGTGACAAGCTTGTTTTGATCTTCTGTGCTGAAATGACTACATGAGGTTTACAATTCCCTGACAGGTGAACATACTTGACTTGGGCTTTGTCAGGGTGAGGTAGTAGGTTGTATAGTTTGTTGGGTGGGACCGCACCCTGCTCAGGTGATAACTATACAGTCTATTGCCTTCCCTGAGGAGCTCACTCGACTCACTTGTGGACATTCAGCGCTCAGCCGAAATGTAAACTGTGCTCTCGGATGTTGTGGAAAAAAGACCAAGAACATACAGCGTGTGCTCTGAAGGATAAGTATTTATCTGGATCTGTTTCATTTAATTTATCTGTGACCTGTTTCAATATGTGAATTTCTCAATAAAAATCACACTTTTCTGAAACCTGTTGTCCAACCATCAATGACTAGCATTTTGAAAAATTAAACCCACTTTTCCCCACACACTCACTGATTCAGAGTCATTTATTTCATTTTGTGAACTTTCAGCTTTATTCTATGCAGTTCTGAAAAGGGTTGGAGCATATCCAGGTCACAAGTCTATCTCTGGCACTTGATTCCCATTAAGCAGAAGCTAAAGCGTTTCTCAGTGTATGCCTCCATCTAGTGGAGATTTAGAAAACTCCTATGACTAAGGAAGTTGGCTTTTCGACAACAGACTGCCATCAGTTTTTTTTAACCAGTGACCACAAACCTTAAGAGTGTGCAGTCTGACAGATGGTCTGGATACTTATCTGTAAAAAAAGCCTGGATTTTAGTTTCAGAGACCAACTGATTTTGTAAGAAAAGATAAAACCTCTTAGTGATCCATATGAATGCACACCTCAGGGACATAGTTTGTCCTCGCCCTTATCTGCAGATGTGCAATTGGATTAGCATACCGTTACAGATCTTTTACTTTCCCCATTTTTCTGGTGACAGTGTAGTTGCAAGAGGAGCCGCCTCCATATCTGAGTATAGGCCTGCTGGATCTTTGGGATACGATAGGCGTAGACCACAGGGTTGACTGCAGAGTTGGCATGTGATAGGAGAATACCTGGAAAATGAAATGCGGTTATAAATTGTGATCTGCAAGCACAGGAGACATGGGAAAATCATTCAAAGCATCTGCAGGTCAAAAAATCTCTCGATGTCAACTGAAAAAAATAACTAACCGATGATTGTGTAAGAAAAATATGGTGACCTGCCTGCATAGAGCATTCCCTGTGTCACTGCCTGAGCACCCTGGAACAGCAGAAGACAGTTCATCAGGTGCAGAGGAATCCAGCAGCATGCAAACAAAATAAGGACCAAAGCCAAGGAGCAGGCCAACCTCTTCTCCCTGAGCAGAGAGGCCCGGGCCTGGGGACAGCTTTCTTTAAGGCGTCCCTGCAGGCTCCAGAAGATTCTCGCATAAAGGAAGGTCATGACCAACAGAGGGGCCATGACACATCCAAGAAAGTTAAAGTACACCATGAAGGGAAGGGAGACGACCGAGAGGAAAGTACACGGTGGAGAGGTGAAGACAGCGGAGGATGTATTGGTTGTATTCGATGTTAAAGATGTGTAATTGTGCCACCCAAACAGAGGGGTAAAACCAAGAAGAGAGGAAAGTATCCAGCACACAGAGACAGCCAACCATGTTCGCCTTTGTGTGGCCAGGGCTTTGTATCTGAAAATAGAGGATAAGCAGAAAGACACGATGAACAGGGGGATATTATTTCCACAAAACGGCGTCACGTTGGAACATGTATTACGTGTCAGTGGTCAGACCTTACCTCAGAGGCATCTGTAGCCGTAGGTATCGGTCCACAGCGATGGCCAGCAGGGACAGCACTGAGGCCTGCGTCAGCACCAGCACTATGCAGCTCAGAAGCAGGCACAGCTCGGGGACCAGATTCACCCATCCATCCAGCAGCACTGCGAGGGGGATAGCAGCCACACCCACTAAGAAGTCCGCCACCGCCAAGGACACCAGAAAGCAGAAAGTTGGCTCCCGGAGGGAGTCCCTGATACAGACGCACACCGCGCACACCACCAAAGTGTTCCCAAGGCAGCACGCCGTAGCAATTAGGACTTCCAGCACTGTGTAGGCCCCCCAGATCCATCCTGCCATCACTGCAGAGATGACAGAGAAGCCACTCAGCTTGTTAGAGTATGTTTCCTTAAAACAATTTCACAGGTCTGATGCATCCCAATGAAGAACAAAATTAGAATCCTTACTTGTTTCAATACTTGTTTGAGGCGGTTTCTCAGGCGCTTGGCTTCAAATGACCACAAAAGCAATGAGCAGATGCTTTTTATACGCCGACGGAGACGCGCCTCTATTGCACACACAGCTACAATAGGCAAAGACTCCACTGAGATACCATCTGTATCTCATCAGTAAAAATCCTCCTGAAACGGATGAAGACATCACAGGAGCATTAAACGAGGGGACATATAAATGAGCCCAAACAACGTTCAAATGCAGCAGGTGCGTTTTTCTCAGTTGTACAGCCTAACGGCTCTCATATATGAGTGTATAGCCAGCCAAAGGATTTGTATTACACCAATGAAGCCAAGACAAACACAGTGCAGCACAAAATATTCAGATGTGTGTTGATAATTCTACGTCATTCAGTGTACAGCAGATTCTTTCCAAGACCCTAATTCTATCTATGAAAATCAAGTAACTATAGCTTGAAAGCTTACATAAAAGTCGCCCTCATCAACCTACAGTCAGTGTTGGTGTGTGTCAGTGTGTGAGTGTGCTTTCTTCTGTTTGTGAGGGGAATGTTCTGGATGTTACTGATTAGCCAGTCTGTTTGTGGTGGCGCTTTTTAATACATAGGTGCTTTGCATACAATTTTGGGTATGGTCACAAGTCTCTGAGTGTCTATGTTCTCCGGTTTGCTTCGAGCACATTTGTGTCTATTTGGATGAAACACACTACACAGTGGACACTTTGTTCATGTATGTAGAACAGAGGTTTACCTATAGAAAGACAAGTAGTCAGGTGCTCAGAGGATATTTTTAGTTTATTTGATTTTATCTTAAAAAAGATATTTCAACATGGACGGATCACACAATGTAATTCTGTTAACGTTTTACAAAATGATCATGTACTATGAGATGAATGTCTGCATTACGGGAATCACCCAAAGAAAAAAGAAACACAACTTTTACTTTGAGAAAGGTTTAAATTCTACTTATAAAGTAGATATAACAGAATAATAATCTTTTAGATTTACTCAACGTAATGCCAGCTGACCCTGAACACATGGCCTACCATTAGGGTTAGCATGTTTCTTTCAATTTCACAATTCTTAGCAAACTCTTTATTGTAACTCTAGGATGGTTTTTCATTTACAAAAAGTTTTGACTAACAGTTTTCCATGCCCTGGCTTTTTAAATACTCAGTATTTACTCGCTATTCAAAAGACCCTAGAATTAGAATTAATGGAAAATACATCAAGGGATTTCCTTTAATGTCTTTTTCATTCATTCCATTTCTATGGTTATATCCACTTTCTTTCACACTATCTACATTATATTAGAGTCTCCTTGTAGGCCTCTCAGTGTCTTCTCATCAAATCTGTAGGTCAGCTTCCTTTTCACTTTGTGAATTTCGCCGGTTCTGGAGTAATTTCTCAGCGCCCGTGCCATTTTCTGGTAGGTCATGGTCTTGCGATTCCCCTTTCGTCGTCCCCACAGCTGAGCCAGGCTCTCCTTATTTTGGGAGGAGAACTGAAAGGTGCCAGATGAGGACTGGACCCACCAGATGCAGCTCCGCATCGATGGTGTCTGAAGCATCTCAAACAGGAACTGGAACAGGCGCTCCTTCCTTTTTACTGTACAGGGGGAAGTGGATGTAAGGGCAAACATGATACAACAGTGTTTCCTGTGTGTGTGCGTGTGTGAACAGACATGCTGACAAAGACGTTTGTATTGTTGTGGGCTGATTAAAGTCAAGGACTGCAGAGAATATTTATGCAGAGATGTCTTTGTGTCTGAGTGTCTGTTATTATACCTGACAGTGGTGCAAGGGGCAATGAGTGTCTTTCCTTCCCGTCCCCTCTGTCAGACATGGGAGACGGTGAGTCTTGGTAATCGTGGTACTGAGAACTGCTGGACTGTGAATCTGAGTCAGTGTATGCAGGTGCCTCAAAGGCATGTGCAATGTTTTCCTGAAAAAAGCGCAGATAATACATGTACATTCACATGAGACATCATACCCAAGAAGCAGGATATAAATCTAACAGATTGATGTAGCTATAGACAACACCGTTCTATTTAGATGAACTTTACAGTACTTTAATGAGGTACTTGAACTCACCCACTGGTTGTCATGAGGACTAGGCCAGACTGGGGCAGGCTCTTTGTATTCTTCGTTTGGAGTGTGAGAGCCACAGTGCCACTCATACGCATGTTGACCTGACCAGCTATTCTCTGTGGAGAGGCAGACACACAGGTTCAAGTCAGGAATAAATGATAAAAGTACCCTCTAATACCCTACCGAGACAAATCCACTGCAATTACCACACTAACCTATAATCCTGGCCTCCTGGTGGGAGTGGGAGTGTGTGTGCATCTGTTGTCCAACGGTGGTCATGGATGATGCAGGTGTGTGAGCAGGCTGGACCTCTAAAGAATGCTCTTGTAGGTACTCCTCAATGACTTCCAGATCCACCTCATGGTAGGAGGAGGGAGCCGCTCTGCTCCAGGCCCCTCGGCCCTCGCTAAGCTTGATTTCAGTCACACACGCCATCTGACAGGCACAGAGGGGGACAATTACCTTCAAACAGCAGACCCACCCAAGTTTTTACTTCTTTTGTTTGGTATGAATATTTTGTGTCGATGTGTCATTCATCTTTTGTCAGTCATAACCTGAGGTGATATCAGACAAAACACCTGCTGTTTTTAATCAAAAAGAAATTCATTGTCTGGGATGCACTGTTTCATCAATTTTAAATGAGCTCAGCTTTTCTGTATTATTTTTCTCTTCCATATTCTAGACATTACTATAGGAAAGAGACATCTTTAAATCTTTAAAACTAAAGAAGAACTTATATTTGTAAAATTCCAAATTCACTAACACCACTATAACTTTTACAAAATCAAACCTGATCTATGCTGCAGGGTCTGTGCTTTGGAAAAGTGCCAAGAGACAACACTGGCCATGTGTATTTTAGTTTGACTGGCAAATTTATGCCAGTGTTTGTGTTTGCATCAGTACAGATAACAGATATGGGGCTTGGCCAGTATTCCGACAAAAAGGTATGGATGTATACTCTGGATTTACATCAAGTTAACAAGAAAATAATGTACTCCAGCAGCTGGACAGTTTATATGTTACAAAGAAACGACTGGAAATTAATATAAAACTCACCATTTCCATTCCCGTCAACATTCTCTATCTAGAAAGAGAAAATAATGTCATCAGATACCAGAATCAAAGGTCAAAATTTAAAAAGAGAAGTGAAATCTATCGTTACTCACACACTTCTGTAACTTTTCAGACAGTCGCACGGCATCAAAAAATTAATCTCAAGAAATGAGCACAACAAAAGTTGTACATTTAGTTCAAAGTGCTCCCTTGTGTCTGGTATATTGAAGTAATGTCCGCAGGCAGTGGATGATGGGGAGGAAGAATGTGAGTGCTCACCTGTATGATGCCCCACCACAGGGTTGTCATCTCTCTTATAGTATTTGCTCACACGCCCTCCTTCCGCCTCTCATTGGTTGATGGGTGTTTAAATGGGAGCGGTTTGAAATATTTTTTTTTTGTTCATATCATCCTTCTTTAAAAGGTATTCGTGAATGCTTTTTTTTTTCAAACAAGTTTTCAGTTATTTAAATGGGTTTATACTCACTGAAAATGGCTGTATTTGTCCTCTTAACATAATATTTGACCTTTTTCTGTAAGTAATTCAATCAGTGTTTTCCTTTGCAGTTTTATTTCCTTGAAATCAAACTATGTGGTGCGTCTGTGGTTTCTTATCATTGTATTTGACGGACAATAGTTAGGTGTTCATGCAGTTGGTCAATTACAGACAAACACATGTGAATATATAGACACACACACACACATACAGATAAATAGCAGCGAAACTACCAGTTTGCCTCTATATTTCTTTTATACTGGAGGCATCTCAGCAGGTTTATTCATCTTTACATCTGCTTTGCACGACATGGCCATAAACTCATCTGTCATGCAAACAATGCACCACATTAATGCAATGGAGATAAATGATTTAACAAACTACCTAATAAACCTTTGACTGGCAGGATGAAATAGATGATGATGAACCACTGCAGGGAAGCAAGCCGGGGCATTGCGTCAGGCCCCAGGTTCAGCAGGCATGATGTTACACACACTCATCGTGTCTGTGCTTCTTTGTTTTTTTGTTTTTTTTTGTTCCTAATGCAACTCTTCCTTTTTTTACTAATATGTACATTATTATTTCAGACGTAAATTCCAGCACACAACTGGCAGTGCGACAAGTGTTTATTTTTTTTGCAAGCTGTGCGTCGGTGAGGGATTTCCCCAACCATTTTTTGGTCTCTAACCTCAGACTCATCAACAGAGTTAAGGCATCCATTGTTCATTTACAGGCAACAGGCGACAAAGAAGAAGAACAACTACTGCATTTTCTGGGGTTTGTAAATAAATGTTGAACCCATTTTGAATTTGATAGAGCTACCCAGTACCTCAGCGCTCAAATCACGGTGCCCAAACAGATAGATAGATAAGCTTTTTAAGGTGTCATTCTAACATGGGGAATGTTAACATATGCGAATAAACCTCGTTGGAGTACAACTAATAGGCACAGAATTATCAAATTGCTATGTGTAAACAAAAGTCTAAATGCAGCACTAAAAGTCTGTGACCTACATACGTTGATGATTTATGTATGTCTTTTCATTCTGACAAAAACTCAATAATTGTCAAGGTTTAGTGTACTTATTAATCTACAATCCATCCTGAGATATTGCTGTGGACATGTAAATCATTAGGATACAAAAAGACCAGACATTAGCCGAATGGCCAACATCAATAAGCAATGATAGCCGTGCACGTTTTACCTCTAAATGGTGGCTTTGAATTAAAGTTTGAGCATTATATTGGTGACCTCAGTAATTACAACATGAGAAATGATTCATTCCGATGCAGGGAAAAGAAATTTGTATGACATAAACATCACATGCATGCTGCCACGCATGCTGCCATAATATAATTTCAAGGGAATATAGAACAACATATTGAATTTAGGATTGAAATATTAGAGGTTATGTTCACTGGAGATGGAAATGAAAACTTTATGTATGTTTAAAAAACAATGATATAATTTCATTTACTGCCAGTCAATACTTATTTTTTCTTTATATTCAGGGTTTTATGTAATATTTATAATAAACAAAACAACTGCTTATAGTTGTAATCACAGATCATGAGTAACAATGAAACTCGGACGACTCCGTACATTGGGCAGATTTTTCCACAGTGACATCGGACAAATTGTATTTTTATAATGCAAAGAAGAGGTGGTGGAAGAATGTGCTGCGTTTAAGGAAAAGTGTTTTTCTGAGAAATAATAATTACTCTTTGTGGAGACATGAGGACACTCTGAAGGGCTAAAAAAGAATACTTGATAAACGTGTTTGGAAAAACCCTCAGCACTCAGAGAAAAGGGTGACGGTTAGGCCTGTGAGCTCCCCTTGCACCTGGAGGACTCAGACAGGGTGATAAGGCCAGGCAGACTCTGGACGCATGCAGTCTGAAACACCCACATACACGTGTAATAAAACAGGTGAGAGCTTTTTCTTTGCCAGGATGTCTGCAAGTTGTTGTGATCTGATGCAATTCCCTAGACATGCCTGAAAATGTTGAGACAGCAGGGAGGAATCTGGTCTAAAAATAGATAAAAATCAAGAGACTGCATCCAAACAAAATACTACAGATTTGTTTGTTATTGAAGATATTTTCAACCACAGACTATTATTCAGAAATGCTTGGCTAGAGGGGGCAAACACAAAACGAATATTGGACAATTCCTCCTTTGTTTTAATCCAATTTAAACACTCTAAAAGCTGCTGCATAAAATAATATTCAGCATGTCATTATTTAAATCTTGTGTTGTGATAAATCTGTGTCTGTTATCTGGAATGCAGTGCACATATTATGTATGTGCGAAAGAGCGTAAAAGTGGTTTCATCTATCTGCATCTCAACGGTCTCATAAAGACAGGACAGAAAAGACAGGAAACTGACTTGTGGATGCACATGCACACACAAAACACTGTTGACCATTAGTGTCACTGCTTTGAAGCCTGTTTGATGATTGTAGTGGGTCTTATCAGCACAACCATCAGTTATTGACGAGCACGGGTCGACACGTGTGTGTTTTTCGTGAGGCTGTGTGTACAGGTGGAGTAGGTTTACAGTTAAAGCCTAACCCCATCACTGGTGAACATACGCAAATCACCTGTACGCATGCAGGTTTTCGGGAATTTCCCCAACGTCTGCACAGAAAGATGTGTGTGTGTGTGTGTGTGTGTGTGTGTGTGAAGCAGTAATTGACAGACTTGCTTGTTCATCAAGGTAATCCTTCTCTCAGCTCATGCACTACTCATGGCTGATCTAAACTAATTCAGAAGTTGAGGCAGCCCAAAATTTGATTTAATCACATTAAGTAAAGGCACTGGATTTGTTTGCGCTGGACCAGGGTGCGCTGAGAAATGTTTCTGGACGAGGTAACTGTTTTGTGAAATTCTGTTGAATGTTCACACCCATGGGCAGGGCCCCTGACGGAGGCTGGATGAGTCAGGTGAACAGTCTTGCAGGTGAGGAGGCGGTTGGGCATGCTTTGGGGTTAGCATGTGAACTGTGAATGAGAAAGATGGGACAATATGCAAAACCTGAGGCTGACTCTGTTGCCACCTCTTACACTTCTTTTCTGTATTATTCTCTTTACTTTGACTGTATGCCAAACCATTTTTAAAATGCTCAATACCTATCTATCTATCTATCTATCTATCTATCTATCTATCTATCTATCTA